CCGGCGTTGCTCGGGGAAAACCGTGTAGGAACAACTTTTAAGAGCAAATTCAGCCACATACACTTACTTAATTCTAAAATATTTTCACCCCCCCTTACCAAATATTATAATTCTCTACATCTAGCATAACAACATCCTATCTTAACACTTTCTAAAGGCTATCATATGTTATCATATTATATCGTCTTATGATAGCTTTGCTCTTTTAATTAGTTCACTTAGCGCTGTCCTATAACCTTAATCATCTCTATTCATATAGCTTCTTGTTGCTAATTTCTATATGAAAGGTGAGAGAAGCCATGTTGAGAGAGCGCACAGAAACCGAGCAGAGACAAGAGGACCATCTAGGTGCTGTTATTGCTGAGCTGCAGTTATCCAAAGCTAAAGAGGTAACCACGACGGTTTTGCACGATGAAATTATTATTGCTGATGTGGTTGTTTGTGACGTTGTTGTTGCTGTTGTTGTTGTTGTTGTTTGTGGGTGATTATGATGATGATGGTGATGGAAATGATGATGGCGATGATGATGATGATGATGATGATGATGATGACAACGATAATGATGATAGTGACGATGATGATGATAATGATTGTGATAGTGACGGCGACGATGTTGTATCCTCGACGATGCTGATACTGATGATGCAGATGATAACGTTTATGATGATGATTACAGTAATGAGGATGATGATAATGATTACACGTCACTAACCTCACCATTTATAATTAAGCGTGATATTCTAATGTGATATTTGATTCTGATAAAGTATTGTTGGCCACGTCGTAACACAAGATGGACTATGTACATACTAAATTACGAAATGTGAAGCTAAATTCAGAAAGAATGTGCCAATGAAATGTTCAAGAAATCATCCATTGCCAGTAATATTACAATAGTGTGAAGCCTATTCTATCGTAAATCTGTGTGTAACTGCCCAGTAAAACGAGGCATTTACTCTTATTATAGATGGTCACCATCGAAGCTCAGCGGCAGACCATTGCCAGTCTACGCAGCAGCCTAATTGAAGACCTACAGGAGACAGGGCTCATCAACGACACAGATGCCACACGCATACTGCAGCAACACCAGCAGCAGCAGCAGAAACTCGACAAAGCTATGGAGGCAGGACGCTGCAAACAGGAGGAGGTAAGGAGCACTTTAAACGATCCTCAAATCACATACAGGTCAACAGCACGTTGCACTATCTACCTCTTCCATACCCCAAAATATAGCCAGTGCAGCGGGCACGATAGCCTATCTATAACAACATGGTGGGAGGTCTTAAGCATCAGGGCGCTTGCAGGTGTTAAGGAGGAAGCTGGAGGACAGGGTAAAACAAAAGGAGACTCGGCTTACGGATGCTAACGACCACGAGCTCAGCGGAGAACCGGTGAGAGATAGCTCCGCAAGCACTCAGGTGAAGCAGGTGCAGTCCGAGCTAGAACACCTGGAGCTATCTGATGAGCTCAGGTAGGATACCTGAAAGATCACGCCCACTGTGATACCTAACAATAATAATCTGTTGGTGCTGATTTGAGTCACAAATACGTTTATCTTTTTGTTTGTTTATATTCATTAATAATAATGACATCGCATATTGTACACGTTGGTCAAACATGACATAATTATTTTGTTTTGAGAAAAAAATGACAGCATGCAAGTTGGAATTGCTTTATTGGTCCATTGTCTCTAATATTGCATCTAACAGGCAAAGCATGGAACAGGAGATGACACGAGAATTATCAGATCTCCAGCGACAGCTGGAACTGAAACAGCAGCAGTCACTGAAGAAACAAGAGCTAGAGTTGGTTAGAGGCTTGATGAGGCTGGGACATTTCAACCAGACGGAGCTGGAGCGGGTGTTGCAGTTGCTGTTCCCTAAACGATCAGATAAGAAACTTCAGGCTATTCTCAATGGAATCCGCGACGAACAACCGGAAAGTGTTGGCGATGATGGACCGGGGTGAGAATATGTTCGCATGCTTCTCTGTGGCTTAGTGACGAATCTTGGATCTTGTGTTACGAATATTTAGATTATGGATTCTTGGACCTAGGATATCTTATAGGATTTATAATTAAATAACTATTACAAGATGTGGAAATATAATACTGATGTATCACCACAATTTAGATCCCTGGAAGATCGAACAACTATGCTAGATGTACAGGTGAAGGCTGAAAGCACTGCAACATCAAAGAAGGCAGCTGAGAACCCTACAGGTTCACGCAGGTAAAGAATATCACAGTCAGCTAACCTGAGCACGAATTCCAGTTAGGGATAACGTAATCAATAATAGGTTGCATATGCCTCAGGTTTTATCCTTTCGAATCAGTTTCAGAGAAAGAAAGAAAGAGAGGGAGAGAGAGGGTAGAGAGAAAGAGAGAGAGAGAGAGAGAGAGAGAGAGAGAGAGAGAGAGAGAGAGAGAGA